CCATCGGGATTGGGTTTTCGTCGCCTGGCAAAGACGTTGTAAAACAAGCCAACTCACTCCGTGAACTCGGCAACCTGGATACCGTTTTTTTTTTTGGGCCTGTTTTTTTTTGGCGGTAACCATAATGGTGGTGGAGTAGATCATGTCGTGCGGGGTGGAGAACCCTCCCTCCGCGCAGGGGGGATGATCGCACCACGTTGTCTTAAAATGGTCAAGCACCCTGGAGGCAGTCGCACAGTGCTTACAATTGTCTCTGGAAGTGAAAGCACCAGATAATGAATTAAGTCATACGCAGCTGTCATCCGTACGCAAGGAAGTAAGCACAAGATGCCGAACACCCTTAGCAGGATGCAGCGCACCCTTCATGCGACTCGCCGAATATCTCACGGCGCTTCGCGCTTGGTGATGTGAGAGCCTGGTCCGGTGAGAACCCGGCGTGCTCCGTCCCGGCTTTGTAGGGATGCGAGGTCAATGGTCTAACGACTACGGCATGCACGACTATGAGTACACCCCCTCCCCCCCCACCCCCCCTCCACCGTCCGATCCATTTTGGACCTCACGCCGGAGAGTTTTGGTGTGTCTTAGCTCTGAGTCCCCCACCGCCCAATGGGGGACTTATGTTTTTATGTTTATGATGTACCAATAGGCATTAACCTTAGGTAAGCTTGTGCTTAACTTTGGACTGTACCCTCCTTACTCTGTGGGGGAGGTAAAGAGGGGGGTGGACGCATGGCTTCTAGTTTTCAGGGGGGTTTTGGGTACTGGTTGGGGGTCGGGTCTATGTGTACTGCATCCTCGAATTGTTCCCTCACGATAGCTACTGTTGGTTTTCAGTATTCAGCTATCCTTACTCAACGCGTCTATGTGTCCGGCAATCTCTCAAATCAACCCGTGAGGTTTCAGTATGCAGGTGTGGTCACTCAATGCGTCCATGTCCGGCAGTCGCAAACGTCACTCAACCCGTCTCAATATGCAGCTATCCTCACTTAAAGCGTCTGTGTGTCTTGCACTATCCAACATTACTCAACTCGTGAGGTTTCAGTATATAGCTATCCCCACTCAGCGCGCGTCTATGTGTCCGGCACTTTCCAACATCACTCAACTCGTGAGGTTTCAGTATGCAGCTATCCTCACTCAACACGTCTATGTGTCCGGCAATCTCCATCACAAATCATCTGTGAGGTTCAGTTTTTGTCTATCCTCACTGAACGCGTCTGTGTCCGGCACTCCATCATCACTCAACCCGTGGGGTTTCAGGATGCAGCTATCCCCACTCAACCCCCGTTCGTGTGTCACGGCAATCTCAAACCTACCTCACTGAACCCTTGGGGTTTCAGTATGCAGCTAAAATCACTCAACACGTCTATATGTCCGGCATTCTCCTACATCACTCAACCTGTGAGGTTTCCGTAAGCTATCCTTACTCCACTCGCCCATGCGTCACGCGTCTTTGGTAGCGCATACTATGGGGGCTATATTTGGGGTGGCGTGTTTTACAGGGCTTTGCCAACAGTGCCAACCCACTCAAAGTCTAGAATAGGGAGCAAACCCAGGACCGGAGAGCGGTGTCGGAAGAAAGACTAACTCAGATACACCAATCCCACCGCCGACGTCCTCCGGATGCCGTAGATCCTCCCTGCACAATTTTTGGAATTTAGCAATTAGGAAGTACACTCACATGCAAAGACAAAATACCGTTCACCCCCGTCCAACTCTTGAGGCGACGCAGCGCACCACCTCCCGGCGCGTGGAGCGCTTCTGTTATTGCCACCACCGCGACAATCCCTTTGTTCATTGCGCTGAAGTATGCTCGTGACGCCATCATTGCGCCAAATGGCCGCCGGCATTCCTAGACGCCATTTCATTCCCCACTCCGGCCATTGTCTCGGCCTTGCCTTAACTCTGACACTCATCCCCCTCCCGCTTCCTTCGTCGCCGGGGTGCGTTATCGCTCTCTCTCCGGGCTGTGGGCGCCACACGGTCACCTCCTGACCAATCGTTGCAGGTTGCACGCAGCAAGGAAGAGAGAAAGGACCACTAATTAAAGACTCGAGACAGCAGCAGCGTCGAGTCGAAACGAACCATGGTGCTTACTTCTTCGCTTAAGGTGATGGGTATGGCGGGCCTCCTCGCCGCCGCCAACCTCGCGACCCCGGCTAACGCCTTCGACGGTGAGTACAAAGGCGGGGGGATTGCTGCCGGTTCCCCGCGGTTCCGTTGCTTTCGTAACACCTCTCCTTGCTATACTTGTTTCACGATCGACGGGTGCGTCGTCGGTTTGTCTTTTGTTGCGTACAGCGCGATTATCAGAAAGAACCTCCACAAATCTTGAAGTCCGCACCCCCCGCCTCCTCGCGAGTAGGTTCCATCCAATGTTTGAATGGCAAAAGGTCAACTGCAGGAGTGTCGTGCTTGGGTGGGCGACGAACGACAGTGTTGCTCGTCCTGTGTTGACGTGTTGAATCCTCGTGCTCCTCAGACATTACAACAAGGCATTAGTTACCCTTAGACATTACCCTTTGTGCCCTCCGCTTGACATTTACTAGCTGTTCCTTGGGACTGCTCGTGTGCAGTAATTTTGTAGTTTTGTCGAGAGCCCGGCGGCAGCATTCGTGCGGCTTCATGCGGAGAAAAAATAATGCGAAGAGTATCACTTGGCACTTTGGGAGAGTTGGGTATTATTACTTGGGTGACGTTTTCGGTTGACTGTCCTCAGGAAATATTGTACGCAGATACTCTTCAGCCTGTAACTTGCTGTTCGGGGACGGAAAGGTGCCGCTTATCGAGAGCTTGACTCATCCAACGAATCCCACCATATTTCTGCGCTTCCCCTATCGCTCTCTTCTGTTGGTGCTACCGTTTTTTTCTCTCGCTCGTTCTCTCAGGGCGCAAGGGTCTGCGGGGGTATCGCAGTCTGCAACGTAGGTACTATAAGACCAGCGGCCCCGTGAATGCAGTTGTTCATGTTCGTTCCCTCAGAAGAAGGCGTTCTTTACGGCAGTGCTTTGTTGTTTGGCGAGTATTGTCGCGAGGAAGGTGCATTACCGCGAACATCTCGTCGTGGAATGGTACACGGTAGTACGCAGCCCCGTTCGAGCCATGACGGCAGCTGGCGAGAGATCGATGCAACCGCTCCCCCGTCCCGGCAGCAGTGTTTCTTCGTGTCGCCGACCACGTCTGCGTAGACGGTCTGACAATTATTCTCGCGGCCTTCTTCGTCGGCGCACCAGCAACCTCCTGCGTTCGACTCGTGTCAACTGTTGGCGCGTTGCGGGTTGCCGAGGCAAGTGGCGTCTCCGCAAACACATGGAACGTCCCGTCTACTCGGTGGAGAAAAACAGGCACCGCGCTGAAAATCCTGCCCCTTTCCTCTCTCCCCGTTTCGGTCCTGCCGTCTACCAGAAATTTGCAGCAACGACATGGACGGTATCGACGGCATCAACGACCGGGGCGCCGTCTGTTGCACGGCCGAGTGCGGCCAGTGCGGTGGGGAGGGCTGCGGGTCCGTGCCGGGCTTGGACAACACCAACTGCTGCATCAACGGCGTCCTGGACAACCAGGAGCTCTGCTCCGTCGTCGGCGCCGCCCCTTGCGTGATCGACAGCGGCAACGGTGAGTATTTTCGCGGTGTTGTTTTTTTCTGCTCCGGAGCGTTTTCGTGCCGAACGAATTCCGCCGTCGACTGAACTCTTGTTGCCCTGATTTTTACGACCAACCCATGATTTTCATTGTTCCTGGGTGACTGCAGCCAATATCCTCTACGCCTTGCTCCCGCCCGTCCGTTGTATGTTGTGCAGGTGTCGCCTCCATTACCCCGGCTCCCGTGGGACGTGACCTTTGTTTGGTTATTTTGCCGTTCTTACCTCGCAGATCGATTGAGCCGACTTGTGCGTAGACTCATGACACCACCAATTTTTTCAGCGAACGAACAGCAGAACCACCTATTTTGCTGGTTTTCGTCTGTTCGTCGTTATACCTGTTGAGGTCAGTGGTTCCACTCCTGACCTAAGCCCACGCCACGTGTACATCTATAAAAAAAAAAAAAAACAGTATCTGTAGCTTCTGTCGGACATCCCCCCCCAAAGCTCGCAGCGAACAGTCAAGCGAGCACCAAATCACGTTCTTTGTCGTCCTGCGTGTGTCCGTCGTGCCATTGTTCCTGTCTTCGTCAGTCGCTCCTACCCCCGAGCCCGTCGCCGCAACCCCAGAGCCTGTCGCGGAAACCCCCGAGCCCACCGCTGCCGGCGGCGGAGGCACCGTTGACGTTGGCGGCGCGACGCCGGCTCCCTCCGCGGCCGACGGCGACCGCGAGATCGAAATCACGCCTGCTCCCAGCGTGGCCGGCGGTGGCGGCGGCGCTGCCGGCGGCGGCACCACCCCGGCTCCTGCCGCTGGTGACACTACCTCGGCTCCTGCCGCTGATGGCGGTGGTGCTACCGGTGGTGGCACCACCCCGGCTCCCACTGTGGCCGGCGCTGGTGGCGGCGGCGCTACGGGCGGTGGCACCACCCCGGCTCCCACTGAAGCCGGTGGTACCCGCGATGCCGGCGGTGACATCACCCCAGCCCCTACGGCGGCAGGCGCCGGTGGCGGTGGTGCTACTGGTGGCGACGTGACCCCGGCTCCCACCGTGGCAGGCGGTGGCGCTGGTACCGTGGGCGGCGGTACCACCGCCCCGACTGTGGCCGGCGGCGCCGACTCTACCCCGGCTCCGGGAGACGTGAACGGGGACGGGCTGGTGAACTCGGCGGACACCGGCATCGAGGGCGACACCAACGGCGACGGCATCGTGGACGACGCGGACACCGGGCTGGTTGGTGACACCAATGGTGAGTTTAGCCGCTGCGCCTGGTGACGTCTGTCCCGACTCTTTCAAGGTTTTGCTGTTGGACGGCAGTGGTGGCCCGAAATGGTTGCGTGGTGGGTAGCGATAATGCTCCGCACGGTGGGCGTAGCCACCGATGGCGTGTACCCAGCTCCCCGAGAGACCATTCGCGCGTGAAGACAAGAATCGCAGCTGTCCGTACGCGGTGAAAGATTGTACGAAGGTTGCGTTGTCGTCGTTCATGCAGAGCGCAGAGTTCCGCCTCTCTCCTTGCTAGGGTCACTGGTTGTTTTCATCGAAGAACCTGTTTTTTGAGCGTCCTGCCCTAGCGCTCGGTGCCTCAACCGCGTTCCGCCTCATGGTAATATCCCTTTGCAGGCGACGGCGTGGTTGACTCTATGGACTCCATTGTCGGTGACATGAACGGAGATGGGCTGGTTAACTCCGCCGACACCGGCATCGTTGGCGACACCAACGGCGACGGAGTGGTGGACGACTTAGACACCGGGCTTGTCGGTGACACCAATGGTGAGTCGTTTTGCTGATGACCGTTTCCTCGGCGCTCCCTGTGCAATGAGCACGCCGCTTCCGCAACACTAGCCTTGTGGCGTGGTTTTCGTGCTTGGGTTCCGACTGCCCCGTCACCTTGCCGTACACATGACCGTAAGTCTAAAACCCTAACTGCGTTGTCCAGGTGACGGTGTTGTGGACGACTTGGACCTGGAGGACGTGAACGGGGACGGGCTCATCAACTCCGCCGACACCGGCGTCGTCGGAGACACCAACGGCGACGGAGTGGTGGACGACTTTGACACCGGGCTTGTCGGTGACACCAACGGTGAGTACACCTTGGTTGCCGCCGCTACCGCTTTCTTCCGTGGTAGATACCATGCTGCCGCTGGCACCTACCTCTTAGCGAGGAAGACACCTCGTTGGTGGCTTGACCTGGTTGTCGAGTACCGTCATTACGTCGTGCTTATGCTAACCGCCCTGCTTCATTCGCTGTACTACTCTCTTACTAGGCGATGGCGTGGTTGACTCCCTGGACGAGATTGTCGGAGACGTTAACGGAGACGGACTGATCAACTCCGCCGACACCAACATCATTGGAGACACGAACGGTGACGGAGTGGTGGACGACGAGGACACCGGGCTTGTCGGTGACACCAACGGTGAGTCGGTGATCGTTTTGCCTGAAACGGTTCTTCCATGGCCGGTACTTCCACTCCTGCTGGCCCTTGACACTTCAAGAGGAAGACACGGCAGTTCTGTCCTCGCGCCTTAATGGTAAACCGGAGAGCTCTCCGTGTCCAGTGTATCTCTTGTTTGACTTCACTGTGGCGGCTACGGTTCAAGCGAGGGTCGAGACAAGCCAGTATTTCTCTCTCAAATCCGGTGTTCTCTTACGCACTCGCACTGTTAATTGTATGTCTTTCTTACGGTCGTGACAGGCCAGTTTCACTGTCTCTCGAATCGGTACTTTCTCATAAAAAGTCTCTTCTTAAACCGTAGCCGTCACTGCTGGTTACGAATCCGGTCATGGTATTCCAAACACCCCTCCTCATTCGCTGTACCTCCATAAATAAGGCGACGGTGTGGTGGACGACCAGGACGTCGAGGTTGGAGACGTTAACGGAGACGGACTGATCAACTCCGCCGACACCAACATTATTGGAGACACGAACGGTGACGGAGTGGTGGACGACGAGGACACCGGGCTTGTCGGTGACACCAACGGTGAGTCGGTGATCGTTTTGCCTGAAACGGTTCTTCCATGGCCGGTACTTCCACTCCTGCTGGCCCTTGACACTTCAAGAGGAAGACACGGCAGTTCTGTCCTCGCGCCTTAATGGTACACCGGAGAGCTCTCCGTGTCCAGTGTATCTCTTGTTTGACTTCACTGTGGCGGCTACGGTTCAAGCGAGGGTCGAGACAAGCCAGTATTTCTCTCTCAAATCCGGTGTTCTCTTACGCACTCGCACTGTTAATTGTATGTCTTTCTTACGGTCGTGACAGGCCAGTTTCACTGTCTCTCGAATCGGTACTTTCTCATAAAAAGTCTCTTCTTAAACCGTAGCCGTCACTGCTGGTTACGAATCCGGTCATGGTATTCCAAACACCCCTCCTCATTCGCTGTACCTCCATAAATAAGGCGACGGTGTGGTGGACGACCAGGACGTCGAGGTTGGAGACGTTAACGGAGACGGGCTGATCAACTCCGCCGACACCAACATCGTTGGAGACACGAACGGTGACGGGGTTGTCGACGACCAGGACACCGGGCTTGTCGGTGACACCAACGGTGAGTCGGTGGTGATCCTTTCCCGCTACAACTGGTGTTTGTTTTTGGCTGGTATGAAGTCAAGACCAAAAAATACATATATATGTCCTGTATTATGCCGTTGCCCCTATTGAACAAGTGTCTTACCAAAGGAAGCCAAGGTGATTTATCCAGACACAGCAGATGCTTGTAGTCGCGTTTCAGACAGGGTATTTGCGCAAATTTTGCGCGGAGGTCGACGAAAAATGTACACCACGCCCGTGTACATGTCATCACTGCCTGGCGCAACAGTTCCCGCCGAGCTCCTTTTATAACATCTGAACCCGCCTGCATCATCTCTTCTACCTACTCCAGGCGACGGTGTGGTGGACTCCCTGGACGAGATCGTCGGGGACTTGAACGGAGACGGGCTTGTTAACTCCGCCGACACCGGCATCGTAGGCGACACCAACGGTGACGGAGTCGTAGACGACGAGGACACCGGGCTCGCGGGTGACACTAACGGCAAGTCGGCGATGATCGTTTGCCGCTAACTGTTCTCTGTGATGGATACAATACGGTCAACCATGACTGCCAACGACATGCCCGCCGACGTGGGTTTGTGATTCAACGGTAATCAAGAAGGCAACAGACAGCCTTGAAATGAGACTGGAGAAGGAAGCGTATGTCCCGCCTTGACGGCGATAATGCGCTTGTTGCGAAAAGAACAGAAAGCTGAGAATACCATCTTTATACGGTGAATCGGTTGTTGCTCGNGAACGGCGACGGACTTGTCAACTCCGCCGACACCGGCATCGTTGGCGACACCAACGGCGACGGAGTGGTGAACGACGAGGACACCGGGCTTGTCGGTGACACTAACGGTGGGTCTTTTTTCTGTTCACCGTTGCTGAGCCGCAAGTATAATATGGCCAGCCAAAGTTGGATAAGAAACCTGCGTGAGTGAATATTGGTGGTGGTATTAGTCGCAACGTATTTCGAGGTCCTTCTACTGTATCTGAACCCGCCCTCCGTGCCATGTCTCCGCCACTTTAGGCGACGGTGTGGTGGACTCCCTGGACGAGATGGTCGGGGACATGAACGGCGACGGACTTGTCAACTCCGCCGACACCGGCATCGTTGGCGACACCAACGGTGACGGTGTTGTAGACGACGAGGACACCGGGCTCGTCGGTGACACCAACGGTGAGCCTTTTTTCTGTTCGCCGCTGCCGTTGCTTTCAGCGGCTACATGTAGCATGCCAAGTGGAAACGGATCTGAGTGAGTGAGAATCCGCGTGGTTTTGACGGAGAGTATATGGAGGTAGTCATTATACCCGAACTCGCCCGACCTGCCGTCGGCGTCTCTGCTTCTCCAGGCGACGGTGTGGTGGACTCCCTGGACGAGATGGTCGGAGACAACAACGGAGACGGACTTGTCAACTCCGCAGACACGAACATCGTCGGAGACACCAACGGCGACGGAGTTGTGGACGACGAAGACACCGGGCTTGTGGGTGACACCAACGGTGAGTGAAGACGAGTCGCGTCCGAAACCAGCTTGTTCGCTTGTCAGGTACACAAGTTTAGATTTTGGCAGGGCCTCTGTGTCGGAACTGCCCTTTCCTCTGTCTTTGTCCGCTTGGTGACCCGTGTGACAGAGTCGCAGCAAATATACCGTGATTATTTTGAAGTTTCCACGTTGTAATTCTTGACCGCTGCTGTCCCTTGCAGGTGACGGTGTGGTTGACNAAGTTTCCACGTTGTAATTCTTGACCGCTGCTGTCCCTTGCAGGCGACGGTGTGGTTGACTCCCTAGACGAGATGGTCGGAGACATCAACGGAGACGGACTGGTGAACTCCGCAGACACGAACATCGTCGGGGACACCAACGGCGACGGAGTTGTGGACGACGAGGACACCGGGCTTGTGGGTGACACCAACGGTGAGCCGTGGGTGTGCCTTTTTTTTGCCGCGACAGCTGTCGCCGTGACACGTGTTCAGTTGCATCGTCGCCACATTTACTGCTAGGTATGGACGGCGAGTTTCCGTAGTTGACGTCGAGCTTCTTGTTGGTTGTTCGACCCCTTGACCTCATTCATGCTCTGCTGTCCCTTGCAGGCGACGGTGTCGTGGACTCCCTGGACGAGATGGTCGGGGACATGAACGGCGACGGACTTGTCAACTCCGCCGACACCGGCATCGTTGGCGACACCAACGGCGACGGAGTGGTGGACGACGAGGACACCGGGCTTGTCGGTGACACCAACGGTGAGTCGGTGATCGNGACGAGATGGTCGGAGACATGAACGGCGACGGACTTGTCAACTCCGCCGACACCGGCATCGTTGGCGACACCAACGGCGACGGAGTGGTGGACGACGAGGACACCGGGCTTGTCGGTGACACTAACGGTGGGTCTTTTTTCTGTTCACCGCTGCTGAGCCGCAAATATTATAGGTGGATAAGAAACCTGCGTGAGTGAATATTGGTGGTGGTATTAGTCGCAACGTATTTCGAGGTCCTTCTACTGTATCTGAACCCGCCCTCCGTGCCATGTCTCCGCCACTTTAGGCGACGGTGTGGTGGACTCCCTGGACGAGATCGTCGGGGACATGAACGGCGACGGACTTGTCAACTCCGCCGACACCGGCATCGTTGGCGACACCAACGGTGACGGTGTTTTAGACGACGAGGACACCGGGCTCGTCGGTGACACCAACGGTGAGACTTTTTTCTGTTCGCCGCTGCCGTTGCTTTCAGCGGCTACATGTAGCATGCCAAGTGGAAACGGATCTGAGTGAGTGAGAATCCGCGTGGTTTCGTCGGAGAGTATTTGGAGGTACTTGTCGTTATACCCGAACTCGCCCGACCTGCCGTCGGCGTCTCTGCTTCTCCAGGCGACGGTGTGGTGGACTCCCTGGACGAGATGGTCGGAGACAACAACGGAGACGGACTTGTCAACTCCGCAGACACGAACATCGTCGGAGACACCAACGGCGACGGAGTTGTGGACGACGAAGACACCGGGCTTGTGGGTGACACCAACGGTGAGTGAAGACGAGTCGCGTCCGAAACCAGCTTGTTCGCTTGTCAGGTACACAAGTTTAGATTTTGGCAGGGCCTCTGTGTCGGAACTGCCCTTTCCTCTGTCTTTGTCCGCTTGGTGACCCGTGTGACAGAGTCGCAGCAAATATACCGTGATTATTTTGAAGTTTCCACGTTGTAATTCTTGACCGCTGCTGTCCCTTGCAGGTGACGGTGTGGTTGACTCCCTAGACGAGATGGTCGGAGACATCAACGGAGACGGACTGGTGAACTCCGCAGACACGAACATCGTCGGGGACACCAACGGCGACGGAGTTGTGGACGACGAGGACACCGGGCTTGTGGGTGACACCAACGGTGAGTCGTAGAGGTTAGTTTTGCCCCTCTACCTCTGCGGTAAGCATGCGGTAAACAAGGACGATGATCCGAACAACAGGCCGAATGTTTCGGGTTGTGATTGTAGAGCAGTCAACAGCAGAATATTTAGCTAGTTGTATGGGGTATCTTGTAGACAACTGTGACCTCCGATCACAAGAATCTCCTTCGCTGCTCTGCCGTGCCTTGCAGGCGACGGTGTGGTTGACTCCCTGGACGAGATGGTCGGAGACATCAACGGAGACGGACTGGTGAACTCCGCAGACACGAACATCGTCGGGGACACCAATGGCGACGGAGTTGTGGACGACGAGGACACCGGGCTTGTGGGTGACACCAACGGTGAGCCGTGGGTGTGCCTTTTTTTTGCCGCGCAGCTGTCGCCGAGAATCGTAATTCAGTTGCAGTAAAGGGATTGACTAGCCTTGGCGAGTGTCCTTAGCTGAAGTCGAGCTCCTTGTTGGTTGTTCGACCCCTCGACCTCATTCATGCTCTGCTGTCCCTTTCAGGCGACGGTATAGTGGACTCCCTGGACGAGATGGTCGGGGACATCAACGGAGACGGACTTGTCAACTCCGCCGACACCGGCATCGTTGGCGACACCAACGGCGACGGAGTGGTGGACGACGAGGACACCGGGCTTGTCGGTGACACCAACGGTGAGTCTTTCGTTTTCCGATGACCACTTTTTCGGCGCTCCTCGTGCAATGAGCATGCCGCTTCCGCAGCACCCGTTTTGTGGCTTTGTATTCCTGCTTGGGTTCCGACTGCCTCTTTCACCTTGCCGTACATCCGACCCTTACCCTAACCCCGAACCCTGTGGTCCAGGTGACGGTGTTGTGGACGACTTGGACCTTCAAGACGTGAACGGGGACGGCTTCATCAACTCCGCCGACACCGGTATCGTTGGCGACACTAACGGCGACGGAGTTGTGGACGACCTGGACACCGGGATTGTCGGTGACACTAACGGTATGTCGGTCGTTTTTTTTCCGCTGCACTTCTTGCGATGACGTTTTCGTCAGGTGGATATTCGTTTAGAGCAAACTCGTGCTCGCCTGTTTGCTTAGAGCTGATTTCTATTCTAGCCCCTCCGTTGGCGATGCAGGGCTTACGGTAAGATGCTAGGAGTCAAGCAAACGTACTTGTGTCCCTTACCCCCGCCCAAGAACTAGACTCGACTAACCTCCGGTGTGTTAGCGGCGCGGCGGGTTTTTTCTCTGGCGGCCGCACGTACTCCTGCGTGGTGTACCCTAGCGTTCTGGGAGTTCCTGGCCTTGTTGAGGTCATCCGCCACAGCCACCTCCCGGGTCTTTTGTTCCCCCTCTCTCCCTCCTTTTGTGATGCGCTAGCCTAGTCAAGGTAAAACCCTGCACGCTCCGTCCCGGCTTTGAAGGGATGCGCGGTCGGTCAATGGTGTAGCCACTACGTCATGCACAGTTGTGAGTAGAAGTATCCCCCCCCCCCCCCCCCCCCCCCCCCCCCCCCCCCCCCCCCCCCCCCCCCC